CAAACATGAATTTTTAATTTCTAGAAAATAAAGTATTTAATATATTTTACCATTTTAAAAAAGCAGCTGAAGCAGGACTTTTGAGTAAAACTCTAACAGTATCATGTAAATGTACCTTTCTTTGGTAACCTTGCATCAACATCTGGACTAAAAAGCAGACCTGTTTTTACAGAGTCAACTCTGTTTTTTAAACTTTGTTGATTTGCAAGTCGCCGACCAACATTTTCACATCTATTGACACCAGAACACCCATTCTGCACAGAAAAGGAAGATTAAAAGCTGTGGTTAGAAAATCAACCTAGTTAACTGAAAATACTAAGACAAAGTAAATTTTTTGTAATAATCAAAATCGACAACTGATTTAAAAAGGCACATATAATTGGGAAACAATTTTATAACAAACACAAATATTCTTGCTTACTACTGAAACTTATAATCATTTATCTGACTTAACTACTAGTTGAAAAATAAAACATCTTTGCATATTCATTAATTTAAAAAATTTTCTCTTGTGCTGACACTGTGCCAGTGCCTGTTCACATACCATGGAAAACAAAAAACCCAGATCAAAACCCTACCCTTATTGCTTTCTATTTTGATGGAGACTTAGACCTAAATAAGATAAACAACAAATTATGTTATATAAATACAATATACAAAGTGAAAAGTGATATGGAGAAAAGCAAACCAGGGTAAGAAGGATATGGAATAGTGAAGGGTTAAGGTGCAATTTTAAATAGGATGATCCGAAGATGATTTGTGAGTAAAGCACAAAAAGAGCAAGAGCTATGAAGATTTAATGGAGAAGGAGCACTACAGGGAGAGAAAAATGCCACTGTAATCTCCGAAGCCGTAGCAGACTCTGGCATAATCACAAACAGCAAGGAGGTCAGAGTGATTGGAGCAGAGAGCACAACGGGGATAGGAGCGAGGATTGAAGAGGCAGCCCAGGAGCAGCGCACAGCTTTACAGCTCTAACTGAGAACTGTGGCTTTTACTCAGAGTGAAATGAGTCGTCATTGGAGGTTCTGAGCAGAGAAATGATAGGACCTAACTTGGGTTTAAGGATAATTTGGGTTTGGCAACTGGGCTCAGTGTTTAGGGCACAGGCCACATATGTCGGGGCTGATGGGTTTGAAACTGGCTGAGGCCTACTAGAAACAACGACAACTACAAGAACAAAAATAGCTGGGCATTGTGGCGGGCACCTGTAGTCCCAGCTACTTGGGGAGGCTGATGCAAGAGAATCACTTAAGCCCAAGAGTTTGAGGTTGCTGTGAGTTGTAACTCCACAGTACTCTACTGAGGGCAACATAGTGAAACTCTGTCTCAAATAGATACAATAAAGGATATTGGTTACAGTGGTGCACCAAGGGTAGTGAAAGGCAGAGCTGTTAGTAGGAGCATACTGTAGTAATCCAGCCAAAAGAGGACAGACAGAACTTGAGAAGTGGGAAAAGTAGTACTGGTGAAAACTGGTCAATCTGGAAAAATTAGGATTCTCTAACTGATCAGACACGATGGTGTATGAGAGAAAATAATAAACCAAGAATGCCACCATAGAAATAAAAAAATTTTTTAAAGTTAAAAAAAAGAAAAGAAAGCATGCCATCATGGTTTTTAACCTAAGTGATGGAAAATTTCAGTTAGAACTTTTGTTGGCAGGGGGAGAGAGGAGGTGGACACTAGGGGCAGAGCTGCACCTTAGGAGTTCTATGGGGGGCAAGTTACACTTTGGCCTGTATATGGGATTAGATATCCAAGTAGGGAAGTCAAACAGAAAGATGTTAAGAAGCAGGCAAGTTGTTCGGGAGATCATTTTGGGATGGAGAACTTAAACTTGGAAGTTTTAAGTAAACACAAGTTGAACATTCCATATCTGAAAAAACAAAATCTAAAACACTCCAAAATCCAACTCTGAACACTGACATGATGTTCAAATAGTGTTCAATGGAGCATTCCAGATTTTCGGATTAATGAAGAGCAACTGATATATACAATGAAAATATTCCAAAATCCAAAAAAAAAAAAAAATCTATGTGAAATTTGAAATACTTCTGATCCCAGAGATTTCAGATGGGAAACTGAGCCTGTCAATAATGTTTACAGCTGATGACCATCTTGAGTGAGTGGAGAGAGAAAAGAAGCAAAGAAAGAAAATATATCAAAGAGGACTAAGTGGTT